TATGCCAATGACAAGGTGCAGTATTGTGCTCCACACCATGATAAAATTTGTGGGATTGTTCTGATTAGGTCAGACAAGTGAGATTAGCCGAAAACAACAGAAAAATAATTTTGCTACATAAAATAGAATTATTTTGATATCGATGACTTCATAAAATTTAATGAATTCATCTGATGGCTGAGTGACTTTTTTAGAGACATAAAATTTCTAAATAGAAAGTTAATAATTTTATTCCTTTCTTTATAGGTAGAAAATGTTCCTCATTTGAGCCTATGTTTCCCAAAATTTTTAATCCTATTTTGACTGAACCCATACGTTCTGTCAGGCTTGCAACTGTCATATGCTTTTCTGATGGCTCTGAAAACTTTTTCATCAGTACTGATTTACTCAAGCATCTCTGTAAACTCACTGATTGTGAGATCTTTGATGCATAAGCTTACTGACATCATCACTGCCACATTTCAAATCTAATTGCCTAGCAAAACTGACAACTTTTCCTATTACATGAGTGACTTTATCAATCTGTGGCATTGTTTTCATCTTGGTTTTAAAAACAAATAGACAGATTTTCTTCCAGACACCATTAAAGTTTTTCTGGGGAAAAATGTCATCCTAATTTCTCATGGCATCTAAAACACTGAACTGTGTCCAAGAGTCTTTCACAGACTGCTGACTGTTTTGCCTTATTGAATTATCCAATTGTGCAAACAACAGTCTCATGTAATAAGTCTGGAATGTTTGATGATTTCTTGGTTCATCAGTTGAAGCCAGCTGCTTGTGTTTGCATGAAGAAAAAAAAAAAAAAAAAAAAAGAACTTTTAAATGTGCATTGAAATCAGTTAACTCTTTCACAGCGATGTTGCCCATCGGGATGTCGCACAAACACCTACATCCATTTTCTACCTGGTGCTTCACCCCATTATGTTAGTGCATAGCTCAGTGGTTTGGGAAGTGCCAATCATTCTTTTGAAGCAACCAAAGTAGCTCTCTTATTTAAATGCACTTTCTCTCTCCTTTATTTAGTGTCAACTAGAAGTAATCACTTTACTTAAGTATGTTATCATTAATGCTGTAGCAGTTTACTATTACTAATGCAGGTAAAGAAATCTATTCCAACAGAAATTCGTATACACAAGACACTTCAGATGTTTGAGGGGAACAGATTGTGCCCTTTCTCGATGCAAAAGAGTTAAACGGGCGGAAGGGAGACAGGTGCATTTGAGAATAAGAAGAATCACTTTTAGCAGAATTTATTTAGACTGGCAATAACATTCAATTTCAGTATAATGTGATGATCAAACACACAACAAAAACAAAAGCTATTACCAAGCTTTAGAATTTGATTTTCAAATCACTGGCAAGTCAGCTTTAGAAAATTTTTTTTTTTTTTTTTGTGTGTGTGTGTGTGTGTGTGCACATGTACATATTTTTGCTTTAGAATTATTATTTATTTCAGAGTGATAAATTAAAAGAGTTTTTAACTTGCAGTCACTAGCATATTCACTACAATCATCACCATCAACCAATCTTTGAAAACCTTAAAACCTGGAAAGTTGTCCCCCCCCCCTCAATGCACTATAGAACTTTCTTAAGGCATCTTCTTCCAAAGCAAGCCGTTCTTATCCACGTTAATTATGGCTTAACTCTTATAGCCATTTTTCTTTATCATAGCCTAAGTATTTTAGGTTCGTTTGATTTATTTGATTATGGGAAAGCATTTGAGGACTACCTGCCTAAGGGAAGGGATGCTTTTATGGTGGCCTTTCTAAGAGAAACTGGCTCATATACATGTAAGACATGGGAAAAACCACAAAAACACCCATGCAGCCAGCCCATTCACCAGGATTCAAACTACCAGTGTTCAGCAACTTTCTGAACTACCACTCGGCTGCTAGTGGGCCCTTAGTGTCTCAAGAAAAGAATAAGTAGCTTCTTTATCAGCATTTGCTGCATTTCCCTACCTTGTGATGCTATGCCAATTACAATAGTTTTTTTTTTTTTTTTTTTTTTTAAATAAACTGAACCATCCATTACTAGCTACAAAGTTTTCATTTTTGGCTGTCTCTGCAGCTTCTTTTTAACAACTTGAAATCAGCGTAACTTGATAATACACAATGTTCTGATAAGTTAAACTATTCTTCACTCTTACTTGATTATCATACCATAATTTCAGAGTTAGTTCCATTTCTTCAGTAATACAGTGACACTTATAATTATGCTTCAGTTTAGAGACTGCACATTTTTCACAGCTATGAGAATTATTTTTTTATCTTTCAAGATTGCTCTTAAGAGTGGATTTTGCTAGCTTATATTTCTTTGCTAATTTACAAATTTTTATTCTGCCATTAAAATCTTTATTAACATTAAGTTTACATTCTAAGTTAATATTTTCCTTTTCTTGCTAGCTGCAAAAGAATAACCATTTTTTTGCTTAAAATATTATTAATTTTTTCAACATTATAATAAATGTAACACACAATCCTAAGTTTCTTCCAGTATGCAATCCTATTTTAAAGAGAACAGTCCTTGAATCAGCAAAAAGGTTGTAATATGAATCAACACCGAAGCAGAAAATTTAAAATGCAGAAGTATTATTTACTAAGTAACAAAACAAAATGAGAAATTTGCACCATTTGCCTCAAATCGGAAATTGGTTCATTTGCAATTAAGATATTTTCTCTTAAAGATAACAAATCCAGCTTGATTGACATTTTTGCAGCAATTATCTCCAGAACAAAAGTACAACAATTGAAATTTTGTACAACTATGCATCAAATATGTCTATACTTGTTACTTAAATACAACACTAGCTTTCAACATTATGATGTGGTGGGTAGTGAAGGTTAAAGCAGAAGGAGAAAATAGAAACTGGATAACTCGTTTTGAATTAGAAGGGGTATTGCAGTATTTCCATCTTTACATTAAAAGAATGTGTAGATTTAAAATCATTATTCTGGATTATAAAAGACTTGAATAATGCATATAGCAATTAGATTATAATCTTAACATAAAAACTAAAAATATTTAATCCACACACCACCCCCCCCCAAAAAAAAAAAAAAAAAAAAAAAAAAAAAAAAAAACTGAAAACTTTTTAAAAAATTAAAAATCATTTTTCATAATTTGAAAACATAAATAGTACATACACGTACTTAAAATACCAAATCATATGGAAAGAAAATTTTATGCAAATATAAAATGATAAAATATACTTTTTCAGAAATTATTCTTGGAAAAAATTACTTCATGACGGCAAAAACTGTCATTTTTTAACACAAAAATATAGAATTGTCAAAAATTTTCCCTGCAATCAGTTCATACTGAAGTCCCGAAACAAAGTCAACAAATATCAGAAGTGCATTCTGTGGCAAAAGATAGGTAAAAAATGGCTTACAAACATATAGCAGAAAATGCAGAGTTTTCAATTTACAAGACATTTAATATCAATGACCAAGATGCAATGGCCCGCCTCTAGAAGAGTGCTGCAAATTCACTGGATAATTTCCTCAATACTCTGCAGAGTCTGGAAAAAAGGACTTGGACCTTTAAGAAACACCAGAGTTCGTCCCAAAAACTCAGATTTTCAATGAAAAGGAAATCCGTAAATACCAATTAAGGAGCACTGAAGATCTGACACCGACTTTCCAATGCCCTTAATTTGTAATTTATGCAATCCTGTTGTATGATCATTACACATTTTTGCTTATTGTTGGCCATAGAATTCACTTCTGACATATGATAACTTTATTCTGTAACTTCATATTTATTATGCTTAATATAACTGGTATTTATGCATTAATGTAATATTACACACGTTTTATATAATTGAATATCATAATTGTTTATTTTTTTAGACGTCATATCATGCTAATGGATGCTTATTTTATGTATGTAATATATTAAGATATAAACTAGGGGTCAAACTGCAACCTACCAACTTTTCAGTCTATTTCTTAAAGTAATTTAGCTTCTTTGTACAACTCAGAAACATGACTGGTTTAATATCTTTAATGAAACTGCAGATTTTAATAAAATTATTTCAGTTTTTGACCAAGATAAAATGCACTGATGCAATAAATACTATTTAATCTCTAATATCCATAAAATTCAATTTTAAATGAATTATAAATCAATTACAGTAAAAACCCAACCATCCAGAAATCTCGAGGGATGCCAAATTCTGTATACATGGAAATTCCAAATAGTTGAGCACATAAAAAACGGAATTCACGTTAGAAAGGAAAAATCAATGGAAAAAATTTCCACTATTAAATTATAAAAACCTATCTTATTTGTTATCAGCTTGAATATCAAAAGCCTACATTTTAAATCCATTTCAGTTAAAGCCAGTGTATTTTGATAATTATGATAAACCTACATTGCTTATCATAATTTTTAATGTTACATCATTATTGTTCATCCTTTTCAAAGTCCGGTTTTTTTTTTTTTTTTTTTTTTTTTTTTTTTTTTTTCGACTACTGAAGGGAATGTATAATATTGCAGAACAACAATCAAACAGATGAAATCAGGACTGTAACTTCAAAAATATTTTACTTCATGCAGTCCCAAATAATAATAACTTTTTCAAAATGTAAAGAAAAATAGAATTTACATCCTTCTTTACAAAAATAAAGCTGGCTTATCGAGAATACATCGACTAAACATTATAGAAAAACAAACTTCTTATGATTGTGTTGTAAGGCTACGCTTATCCATTATTGCTGCTAAATCACACTACTAGGCAACAATACTGTACTAATAGCATTATGTGTTCTATTATGGTATTACAAATCCCTCATTTACTGAATTTTTCAGGGAAATAATTTTTCTTCTAAAATTCTTAAATATTCTGGTTATTTAGCGTTTTGGTTTAGCTGAATGTTGAATATTTGGGCATTTACTGTAATATATATAATATTCAAAACTAAGGCATAATCTAAATTAATAATCATCATTAGCACATGAGAAAAACCAATTGATACTTTCCATGTGATACTAACCATATGTAATCCAGCAATAGTATCAGCCCCATATTCTGACATCATAATAGGTTTCTGGTATATATCATGAGCTTTAGATATATAATTTACTAGTAATGGTTGAATAACTTCTAAAGAACCAGTATCTTGGTACCAAGAGAAGTAATGATTCATCATTACAAAATCTAAAAATTTGCCCTAAAATAGATATAAAAAACTTACTGTTAACATTAAATTGAAATATTTATTTTTATTATAACAATTGAAAAATTATTTTCATATACCATCAGCTTGAAACAGAATTGTTAACAACAACAAAAAAAGGGGGGAGAAGGAAAATGCATGGAATAATAGCTGAATATTTTAAAAATTGCTATTAAATTTTAAATTATAATATGGTGTACTGTAGTCTGTTAATTATGTAATCAAGTGTGTTTTTCTAATTGCCCTCAAGTTACTAATGATTTTGATTTAATCACTGATGTTCTTCTTTGTAAATCAGAAACTGAATGAACATCTAAAATAGTAATAATCACTATTTTAGATATTTAACAAATAATCACTATTTTAGATATTTAACAAATAATCACTATTTTAGATGTTCATTCAGTTCCTGATTTACAAAGAAGAACATCAGTGATTAAATCAAAATCATTAGTAACTTGAGGGCAATTAGAAAAAAACACTTGATTACATAATTAACAGACTACAGTACACCATATTATAATTTAAAATTTAGTAGCAATTTTTAAAATATTCAGCTATTATTCCCTGCATTTTCCTTCTCCACTTTTTTTTTTTTTGTGTGTGTGTGTGTGTGTGTTGTTGTTGTTAACAGTTCTGTTTCAAGCTGATGGTATATGAAAATAATTTTTCAATTGTTTTGTAATAGATTTTTAACATCTAAAAACTTAAAATTTTAGACATTTCCTAGTATAGTGAACTTGAGACTTGCAATTCTCTTCCGTTTCTCGACATTCTGGTCACACGTAACACATCCAACTTCAGTACTACAGTTTACCGTAAACCTTCATCGGTTTGCCTTCCACCACACTTTAAATCATGTCATCTGACTAAACAAAAGTTAGCTTCATTTTATTCCTATGTTTTCCGTGCTCTTCAAGTTTGCTCCTCCAAACTAGCCCTTGATGAAGAACTAAATTATTTAAAAGCAATAGCTATTGACAGGGGCTTTTCATTCACCCAACATTATTAATCAAGCAGTTAAAAAATTCTCATCTCAACACACTAAAAGCCACACTCTTATTTTAGGAGATTATAAAAATTCTGTTGTCATTCCCTTCTTTCCATCAATTAGCTATAAAGTTGCACATATTTTGCAGAAATTTAACTTTCAGGTTGTTTTTTCTCCCATCAATAAAATTCCAACTTCTATACTCAAGGACCCCATTCCGGATATGAATTCCTGGGGTATTTATAGGATTCCTTGCCAGTGTGGTTTAATTTACATTGGCCAAACTAAGAGAGCCTTAAAATTTCGCGTCAAAGAACATGAGGTATATGTTAGAAAAAAGGAAACACAGAGGTCTTCTGTTGCTCAACATTGTTGGTCCGAAAATCACACTTTCAATTTTTCTGCTGCCAAAATTATTCAAAAAACATCTTCCATTGGAGAACTGGATTTTCCAGAGGCATTTCACATTCATAAAAATCTTTCTGTTCTAGTTAACGATCCTAATTCCAATCCAAATTTGCCTTCGGCTTTTAGAGAAATTATGTTTTAGTTCTGGTTTCGCCAACAGATGGCGCCACTTGCTTATTCTTGTCCAGGCTTTCTTATCTTATCTAATCATTATTTCCTATCTTGTTCATTTGCGGTTTTGCAGCCGAAGATGATGGTTCGGTAAAACCATCGAAACTAGTCCTGTGTAAATTTTGTAGGTATAACGCTGATTGTTGTTTGACTTCTGAATTAGTATTTATTCGGCGTGTTATTGTGTCTTAATTATTTCCTAGTATATCTGTAGTTGACTGTATACTGTATCTAGAAATTGGTTTATATTTGGAAACAGAAATTATGTAAAACATTTTGATACTTATTTACTATTATCAAACATGTATGCTTATATACATCATTAGTATAGTATTTCTTTGTGTTAACTCTGATTTCAACATTTTACTTTACTGAATGATATTTTTAAAAACATGATAGATGCATAACTGAAACGTGAACAACCATGTTTCTAAATACTTTTTTTAAACAAATCAGATACACAGTATGGAAGAAATGACATGAATCTTTCACTCAAAACAGAGTTTTTCATTCTTTTTTGGGGAGAGGAGAAAAACACTTGCATATTACATTATGAAACATAAATAACGTTTTTCTTTCTTGATCCTAAAAAATTTCAAAACAGTCACTTAGCTCCTTTATGACTTCAATAATATGTGGAAATCTGTATAGTTAGATTGGCATGACTGCCTTTTATTTGGTCATAATTTTTTTTGTCACTAGGTATATGTTAGATTACAATTTAAACTATTTTGCTTTCTCTCTTTCTTTAATTATGTAAATGTCTTAATGAATGGATATTTATGAAAACAGAGACTAAAATAAGTAATTATATACATTTAGATATTGAATGCTGTTTAAATTCGGGTTTTTTTTTTTTTTTTAGCAGCTTCAAAAAGCTATGCTACTAGAGGGTTAAATCTTTTTTGGATCAGTGATTTGTTAAAACCAGGCTTGACGCTCAGTATCTCCCTTCAAATTCAACACAGATTGTCCCACAGCTCAGTGTTACTATCAATGATGCACTTCGAGAATTATAAGCACAAATATGCAATGGAAGCTGTTCTGTTTACAAATGATTTGATACTATGGTCCACTGGCGGGAAAATAAAAAGAATCCAGTACTCCCTTGGCTCTTGATAGTCTTTTATATGGCCAAGACAAAATGAAATGATTATAAATATTAATCTGAATAATTATCATGTTACTTTTGTATGGACAGTGCTGAGTAATACTGAAAATGCTATATATCTGAGAATCACTCTGAATTCCAAACTCAGTTGATACAAATATTCTTATAAGACTTTCAAGATTAGTACCTCAGATCAGAAATGACAAAATGAGGTGCTTTACAGGACATGCTTTGTTTATCTTTAAGACATATATCGAGCCTAGTTTTGAGTACAGAGCTGAATTATTGGTTACTGCATCTGAGATCACCTAGAACGAGGTCGAAATTATTTAAAACAATACTTTTAGAACAATCACAGGCAGTGATAACTTGACCGCAGCTGAAGCCATGCAACTACAAAGTGGTCTGGAACCAATGGTTAATGAGCAAATATCCGCTTTTAAACTATTTGGAAAATTTCTGGGACATGATAATTCTGGGCTGGCAAATATACATATTAAACTTCGATTAAAACTCGGAAAACCTTCTCGGACCTGGCAAAAGGATTCACAATCAAATTTGATTTTTTTTTTTTTTTTTTTTTTAAGAAGACATAAAATCTGGACCTGATTGATCCCATAAACAAGAAATTTATATAAAGGCAGAGCTTAAGATGACTATTTTTACTATAATTGACAAAAAATACCCTTCAGCAAATCAGCTACACATTTACAGAAATGGCTGATTACACAGATGATTGACTGCAGTAAAGGATCTTCAGATATGGAAGAATGAGAAATCAAAGAATTAGTCGAGAATGATGATTATGAAATAATAGATGTATGGATGATATTACAACACTAGCAGAAGATGAAAGCAGCAATAGTGAAGAAGATAAAGAGCCTTTATAAGAAATTAAATTAATTGTTAAAAAAAAAGCACAACCGTCTGATGTTGTAATGGAAGTTGACCGAAATGAAGAAAGAAGAGACATTTTATGAGAGGTATTGAAAAACTTTGTACTCCTTACTGCAAAACATTTAATGAGTCATGTCTGTAACTGTATCATATACCTACTTATAGTAATAAAAATCCTTTCAATTAACATTTGTTTCATTTTTCCTTTTAATTATGATAATATTTAAGTTTTTATAAATTTTGCAAACTCTCTTGATCTGAACTGCACGTAGTTCATTCTTTCCATAGAAACTAAATTTCAAGAACACAATTTTGCAGTGTGTGCAATATGTTAATGACATAACCCATTACTGGCAAGGTTTTATTACTTATAAAGGGCTAAACAAATTACATTTTCTATCAAGGTGGCCATGGCATGGCTCTTACGAAATAAAATATATGTATGAAATGTGGTAAACTAAAACTATTCAGTGTCCAAAAGAAAGTAATTAATTTATTTCATTTCTTTTTACAAAATTATTAGTAAACTGAAACTGAACAATGTCTAAATGGCAATGTAACATAATCCCACATAGTAACCCTAAAAGACCCTACCTAGTAGAGGAAAAAAAAAAAGAATGAAAAAAAAAAGGATCTGATACAGATCAGACACATGAATGTATATATTAGTACCTGACGAGTTAAAGAGCCCAACTCTGTTTATATTACGCTTTCCCGCTGCCCCCGCAACAGCTGATGAGCAAAGTACCAAAGTCAGGCAGAATGCATACAAAGTGAAGGTCAGGAACTTAAAACTATATTCATTTCAAAATTAATGGACAAAGAGTGCTATCTAGTGGTTTTTCAAAAAAAAAAAAAAAAAAAAAAAAAAAAAAAAAAAAAAAAACAACAACTTTCCAGCTTAAAATGAAAATGCGCATTGCCTGTTCTCTGAATTTAATCTCCAGTGTTGCATGGGTGGGATGCCCGGCTATGAAAAACATTTTTTAGGGAATGTGTATATGGGATGCCCGTCTGGAAAGGATTAAAAAAACTAAGGACATTTAAGGACTGTACGAACCCCGATTTTACATTAATTTCTAAAAGCAAAATTGTTTCAGTTTATGAATATTTCAGGTGACGAATTATCTTCAGAAAGCAAAATGCATGAACCAAGGTATATTAAAATTTATTAAGATTTACAGATCCATCCTTGCAACCTAATTAAGGCATTTTTCCTGTTTTGATCCTATGATATATGATGTAATAGTTAGTGAGTTGATCCATTCATTCAAATGTCTTAAGTTCAATTATGGGCAAGAAGTGCATCAGAAGAAGCATTTTGGCAAGAAGCCATTGATAAATATGGTATTACTTTCAATGAATCCCATCTTCCAAATGCATTTTTAATTTGTTAGCAAAGTGTATGAACCAAGGTATATTAAAATTTATTAAGATTTACAGATCCGTCCTAGCAACCTAATTAAGGCATTTTTCCTGTTTTGATCCTTTGATATATGATGTAAAAATTAGTGAGTTGATCCATTCATTCAAATGTCTTAAGTTCAATTATGGGCAAGAAGTGCATCAGAAGAAGCATTTTGGCAAGAAGCCATTGATAAATATGGTATTACTTTCAATGAATCCCATCTTCCAAATGCATTTTTAAATTCATAAGCAGTGCACAGTTTAATTTCATTGATACCTGTTGATAAACATAGATTCTAATTAAAATTAGCATTTTCTCTAATTTTTTACAGATTAAAATACAGTCACTCAGGTTTTCACTACTTTTCTGTTATAGTTCCTATTTCCTATTAGAGAAAACAGTTATAGATCTGCACATGTGCACATAGTTTATATTTCAGCCAGTGAAAATATCATTGCTAAATATTTAATAGGCTTACTATTTTCTATCTTTCATTAACTGGAGAAGGTGCTATAGTTTTTTTCACAAGCAAAATGTATTTTATCCTTCAAAAGAATAATGAAAGTGGCTGTAGTATACAACTATACGTTGGAGAAAAACATCTGGGAATGCAATATCAACAGCTGTAAAAAGAAGAAAAGTGTTCCTGCAGCAAATTGGTTTAATGGATCAAAAATATCCTTTCTGAGGACATTAAAATTCATTTGTTGCTGAAGTGAAGATTTCATTTCAATCCAATGGTGTAACCAGTGGTCAAAAATGGGGAAAACTACACAGCGAGGCTGTTTATTTTAAATAAATTACTTACAAAATTATATTAAACAAAATAATAAAGACAAATTTATAATAAATTGCTTCTATATGTGTATATTAAATAAACTGTTTACTGTAGATATTGAATGAATTGTTTGCATGTATCAGTAACCATCTGTTCTTTGGTAAGGCTGAAATGCACCAATTCTCTCATTTTTCACCAAAGTCCATCTAAAACTGGAAATAACAGTTTACCAGTGTTTAAAGTTTCCAATATTTGTGTGATAAATCCAGCACACAATTTTCATTTTTCTTTCTACTTCTATTTTTTTCAGGGAAAAAGACTATTATTATTGGATAAAGAAATAATTATATTCACTACTTTAATTTTAAAAGTATAAGTATAATGATGAAACTTACAGCTTTATCTTTTGTATAATCAGCATTGAGAGCAGCAGTTACTGGTCTTGTTGCATCCAATGATTTTACATGTGACACGATTTCCCTAAAATAAGATAAATTTAATAGATAATCTACATATCGACAGAATAATTTTTCCCAAACATTAAAAAAAGGGGGGGTCATTAAAAACTATTACTCTAACACAACCACATGTAGAAATTTATGCATCACTAAGATTAAGAGTTTGTTATGAGATTGGATGGGGAAAAAACCCCGAAAGCTTAGACAAATCTCTAATTATGAATGAAAACAAAAAGTATGCCTTTGTTTTATCCTGTAACAAAATCAATGACTATCATATGTATGCAAGATCATCAATACATTCAAGAGATTTTATAAAATTGTAAAAGTTAATTTATCACATTAATAAATTATTATATTTGCTAGTATGTAAGGCACACCTAATAGCAAGATTCAAATAATTTAACAAGCAGTTTGTTGTCTAAATAACGATAATTAACTGGATTAAATAACAATAAAATTGTGTAAAAAAACATTGCAATTTAATCTTAACAAGCAATTCATCACATAAAATATATTTTAGAAAGTCACTCTTCTAAACCAATGTGAACTCATTACATCCTACTAGGGGATGCAACTCATTTTCTGAAGACATTTTTGGAAAGCAAAATATTATTACATTTCTAATATGCTTTACTAAGCAATAAAATCTTCCTACATATAGTGTTTAAAATGCCAAATTCAAAATTCAAAATCACCATACATGCCAGTAAAAACAGTATACACAAAATAGCCTACTAAAATCCTATACTATAGACTGTTCTATTGCTCAACTAAAATGTTGGCTTCTTCCAGTGAGCTCAAGTGGACTCAAGTGCCCAATTCCACAATTCCAGTGTATAATGCTTTAACATCCAAACAACATAAGAAGTGCTATTCTAGAAGAGTACTTTTCAGAGAAATAGTACTACAATACTATATCTTATACATCAGTAAATATGGCATTAATAGGATAATAATTATAGCAAAGCAGTACACATTTCCTTTATTTTTATCTTAATAAACTTAAAATATCTAAAACAAAACCTCCAAGTATGCACAAACTATGCTTTCTGTTTAAATCAAGCTAAAATAAAAAGATTTCTTTAAAACCTTCATATAAATTTGTCATACATTTTCAGATGGAGCAAACTTGCTTGGCTATATAATATACTTGCTTGGCAATAACTAACTTGCTCTGAAGACTTTGAGTTAATTTACATATTTAAGATTCAGTTAAGTTTTTATTCACTTTTCCATAAAAATGGTCCTGTAAAAATTATAAGAACTTCTTATCATAAATGAATATGAAATAAAATTAAACACATAACTTAATACAATACATATTGAACATCTTGCACAATATGCAGAAATCTTTAATGGTACTTTAAAGGATAGTAGTTAATTACAAAACTGATAATGCAGCAAGCAAACAACATTAGTATATGATTCACTGTCAGAATAAATTTCAAAGCTTTCTAAAAGATCATACCGCAAGATAAACAATATATAATACTTCATGCATATAGAAACAAACAACATAGGATAACAAACTTTATACATATATTTTATTTTATGTATTCTAGATAGCTTTCATAATTTAAAAAAGGGAAATGTAACTAATATGAAAATATTAAAAATATTACATTGATGAAAATAAATTTTTAAATTTCAAAATTATAAAAATTTACATACTTAAAGTACTTGTTGGCAGCTGATTTTGCTGATGATGGTTCATTAGCAACTGACCATGCCACAACAGATGGATGATTTTTATCTCTTGCAATTAGTTCTCCCAAAATGTGTTTATGTAACTGCAATAAATCATCTCCAAAGCTCCTGGCAATTAAAAATATTGCATAACATAAAATATATTTTGCCAGAGTCAAACAAACAATTCCATTAGAAACATCAAAATCTGACTCTTAATCTAGTATTAGATTATTAAAATTTTTTTTCATAACTTTTGATTCATTTTTCACTATATTTGTGCATTAGCAGAATGAACATTCAGATAAGATAATCACGGAAAAAATAAACTTCTTCGAAACTTCATTAAGTCTCTACAAGCAATTAATATAGCCAGCTTCTATCTACAGTATCATTGACACTAAAGGCCATAAATAATCTAAAGATAAAAAATTTTTGCAGACTGATGCAAATTTTTTTATCAGATAAACAATGTTATAAATTTTGTTTTATTATTATAATTACAGTAGGTTGAAGGAAATGAAAATCCATACTATTGAAATTTCCATCTTTCATAAATAGCATGCATCATATATGCAAGAGGGGTATTTTCATCTATTGATATCTGTTAGCAAATAGTATTATGGAAAACGTTTTGGAAAATATGCAATTGCATTTTTGATGTTTGACAACTTATTATCCCAATATGTTTTAGTTATTATCCTAAAATGCATAATCATTGTAATTGAATTTAGACTGTGATAAAAAATTTTATGAAAAAATTTACCATTTTTGTAAAAGTCAGACACACTGAAATGTGTGGATTTCTTAAGTTTTCACAATTTCCATTATCAGAAGGCCTTTTGCTGCAATTACAACTTGGCAATGACTTCCACTGAATTGAACCTATGATTTTAGGTTTGAAATGATTTTCTAGTTGGGCTTTCATCAGGGCTATTCCTTAGTCATTTTAATAATCTAATATTTTCCCCTGAAACCATATTTTGCAGAACAGAAAAACAGGAAGGCAAAAAGACTTGCTAAGATATAAAAATTCCTAATCATACAAAAGATGAAAAGATTATAGTATTAATTTTAATTCTAATATATCACCGATTTCTCCTATTTCAAGTGATCTTACTCTTAATGCATTTCACATATTTTGCTATACTATAAATCCACAGCACAATATTAATGGAATACTTTATAGCAAGTACTGTGCATTCAGCAGTGGTATAAATAGAACCTTTGCCACCTGGGGCAGTCCCTGAATTTACTGCCTCTCTCAATACACAATAAAAGTGTCAAAATGACATATAATTAAAACTCTGTATTTATATTTTGAAGTAAAACATTAATTTATTTTACTCTTTTTTTTTTTTTCTTTAACCTACAAAATCACCAATACAATGCAGGTGGGTCTACTCGACTAGTCCAGCTCCTGTTATGGAGACAATACAGACAGATTTCTTAAATGCAAACTTGGTGTTAAATTATTTTCATTTAGAAAACTCTTCTCATAACTAGTAGTTACAGTAATTATACAGAAATTTTGCTGCAATATTAAAATATCTGGACTTTTGTTCTTGATATTACATTTTAGAAAAAAGTGTGAAAATTCAATAGGATCACCACCTGTACTTTAGAATAAACAGCAAAAATTCAACAGGACTACCACCTGTATTTTAGAATAAACTGGAAAAATTCTGTGAGATTGCCATCCTTCCAAGTTCTTGTTTAATTTTTCATATCAATAATGTAAATAACACTCTGAAATATTTCTGTCTTTATAAGAAATTTTTTCTTATTAATATCATCATCATCATCAAAATTTAGTTCATATTTTACATTCAAAAATTTTAATGGAGTAAGGAAGGTATAACAAGAATATGCAGCAGTTGAAATAAGCAGCATTTATTTCTTTGAATTCTATATCTATAAAAAAACTGTTTTCCTTATCAATTTAATTCCACATGGCAGTTCAAAACCTCATTACTCTTCACATGCCTTGATCTACATGATTAAATCCATGTGAAAAATGCAACCCCAAAATATGCCACAGAGGACACACCACCACCTCTAGACACACTATTGGCATTCAGGGGAAAAAAATCTTTGCTAAGACTTCATTTTACAAGACCAAAAGCATTTAAAAATGATATTCAATAATATTTTGACATAAACGTTTCAAAACTATCAGAGTTGTGTTAATTCTAGACTAAAAGTAAATATTCTAAAAATAGAGCTCAGAACAAAAATTGACAAAAGCTATGCAAATTATCTAATAGTATTTCGATTACTTTATTATAATTTATATATTGTGTCGCCAAATGTCCTTTACTCAGCCTCTATTTTCACAACTGCTGGTTGTGGACATATATTTCTAATTACAAAAATGTTTTTAATGATGCAAATATTCATGTTTTGGCAATTTCAAATTTTAAGAAATTAGTTTTGTATCTTACAAAGTTAAATATAAATAAGCTAAAAAATTTATTCTTTTCATATATTCCTCTGCTCCCTATACTAACATTTAAGAAATTTTTTTTACTCATTGAAAAAAAAAAAGTTTAGATCCTATCCAACAAAAATTGACCAAGATACTTGAAATTAGAGACAATATTTAGGGGTTCAATACACAAATTAACAAGCACTATGTTAGTATTTGTACATAAGTGAAAATATTAGAAAATGGTTTCGGATTTAAAAAGATTAAGTGATCAGCATTTTTATGCAGCTTATTGTAGAAAATATTGATCAATCTAATTTTTTTTTTTTTTATCCAAAACGCAGATCTTATTTACAGAATTTTATATAATTTGTGTTCTAAGAAAACCCTAGCAGGCATTAGTATTGGTGTATAATATTATTTGCATTAATAAAAAATTTAATATTTTTGCTTTAATTAGTATTATTACCAATTATGATTCTAAATAATAAAATTAATGAGAATATTAATAATGTATTTTTAGACTTTAAAATTTATACATTATTAGTATAATATACTTTCATTATAACAAAAATAAAAAAATTATAAATTAAAGACAATAGTAAAAATGAAAGAATATCATTAAATAGCTTTTAAAGGGGGAATCAAACTCTAATTGTTCTAATTTATTAATTAATTGACCCCTCATTACAAATTGAAAGTGGTGTCAGAAATCCAAAATTTTGAAATTAAATAGCTTGGTCAATTTTTTCAAACATTTTGTGCTTTATTTTTTTTAAACAAGTATATAATCTTCTTAAATATAAGTACAGAGACTGGAAGAATGCATAAAAAGTTATATTTCATAATTGTCACATCACTGACTTCTTTAAGTATAAAAATGCCAAAACGTGAATATTTGCAACATTTAAAATATTTTTGTACTTGAAAATATATGTCTATGACAGACAGTTTAAAAAATAAAAGTTAGTTAATGACTTTTGAGGACACGGTGTATATCAGCTTTATTACAATGTTTAAGTCAGCTAAAATAACAAAAATATAGGACAAAAAACACAATTAATACTACAATATAACATGCAGATTTGCCTGTCATTTCAACTTGCCATACTTCAGTGATGGCAGGTTGTAACACAGTGTAAAACCAGCTATGTTAATTATTTCACTGATCTTTTAACCAATTAATTTGACTTTTAGACTGCACAATTTTCTGTTTCATTCTTAAGTGATTAAATATGCTTTTTCCTTGGAATTACAGAGTGCAATCCTGAACTATGAAGCACAATGGAACAGTCCTGGCAGTTATGTTTACCCCATATTCATGCAAATAATTTTTGTCTCAGGTGTTTTCTTTCTTTTACTCAAATACTTTTTTTTTTTTTTAAATTTTTCTGTCACACTATACTGCTGAGGATCTTTTTCTACTTTTACCAGTTTCAGAGCTTCAGTCAACTGAATTTTCTGTTACTTATTCTAAAATTTATATTCTTTTGGTTGTGCTCCCACATGCAATTACCGAAATTTCATCCTAAGGGTTATAATCTTCATCTAACCTTCATTTAACATTCAGCACGCGTGCCATATACAAAGTTTACAATAAATTCAGTTTTTACTGCACATTTTTCGCATATCACAGATGAGACGTTGAAAGTCATTTTTATTCCTCCTTTCAACCCTTCCCCACATCACGGAATGTGCCAACAGAAAGTCATATGCCTCCCTTCCTTTTACTGGGCTTTTCTGCTATGTGGCAGCTTCTTTGTAAAAGTTATGACACGTGCATGGTTGTGGGCGAAAACTCGAAAAATATTTTGTAATTTTGTTTATCAATTGACATGTATTATTTTAATTTGTATAAATTCGACTCTATACCTTTTATATTGGTTTTCATGGCAAAAACATTATGTGCAACCAGCTGATTTTGCTCACATTCTTCCAAGAATTATCTGATGAAGAAAAAGAAGACAAGGAAACCTTTGGATGTGAGAAGAATAACGATTTGAGTGAGGAAAATAAAAATTAATATCAGCAGTGAATCTGAACAATAAATTTCGGATGATGATAATAATGATGTAGAAAAAATTAATGCTGATCATATGTTCTATGTTAGTAAGGATAAATCTTGTAAGTGGTGAAAACAGAAGTATGAAGTATCCAAACTGCACAAAGTCAGATAAAATGAATGGTGTGAAAGTGTTACCTGGCCTAAAATGCCATGCCAAGGATATAGAGAATGAAATAGAATCATTTTTGAAAATAATTGATATACATATGCTTGACGAAATTTTGGAATGAACAGATAAACATATAAGTTTGCTAAAAGGCAAATACTCAAGAGACAGAGACTGAATTGTTACCTCAGAGTGGAAATGATGGCATAATTTGGATTGTTATATATAACAGGAATAAAAAAAAGGACTGCATGTAAATGTAAAAGAATATTCTTAATTATTTCTTATTATTTCACTGGAACTGAAATAACAAGAGCTGTGATGAGCTACAAAATATAGTTATTAAAGAACAAATTTTAAATTTTCTATAATGAAATACATCATTGCCTTTCCATCTGACTGATATAAGTATTTAAAAATAATTTACTTTGCATAAATCATTTGAATGTGACATCATTTGTATTTGGCAATAATAAGGTTATTTCATTTCTTAAGAAATTTATTATCAGTATTCACCCATTTCTGTCATT